CCCCCCCCCCCCGAATCTTTAAACTTGCAATCGAAAAACCTATCAGTTCTAAACTGTTCTTCCTAGAGGTCCAGTAAGAGTCATCTCTAATTGATCCAGTGTTACTACAGGAGGAAACCGAAACTAACTTTATTTATAAACGAAACTAACTTTATGTATACTGGATAGCTCGATCAGTTTTAAACTGTTCTCTCTAGAGATCCAGTAAGAGCCATCACATTTTGTCAAAAAGTGGCTAAAATTCGACAAAACGTTAAGGTTTACCCCATAACTTTTTGACTATTTTTCGCCACTTTCTCAATTTTTCAAAAAGTGACCAAAAATGATGAACAAGTAAAGGCCTTAAATTTGCTCATAAGTTTGAGTAGTTTTATTCATTACTTTAATTTACTATGGATGGATTATTTTACTGAAGTGTTTGAATCAAAATTATTTGCAGTGAATATATTCACAAACTTAATTAATTTAAAAGTTCGTATTGTGCGCATGCTCGCATCACGTTAAAGCACATCGTCCAAAAGGCTGCACTGTGTGCCTTTAAATTCTATAGAATGCTAATAAAGTCAATATGTGGTTATATCAGTTTTAGAATCAGGGTTGTTCTCGTGATTGACTACTTTTGTGCGTTGACAAATTCCTGACGAGTTACATAATTTTGCAGTAACTTATTGTGTCTATTGTCGATTTCAAGTCACTTTTCAACGCGCGGTTCCCAATTTCGTTGCGAACTTGCCAATTACGTTTCCAAGTTCGAAAATTGGGCGTGAACTTCGCAACGAAGTTCGCAAGTTACTGATTTGAATGCTTGAACTTCGTTTGTAAACAAATGTTCATACTCGATAATAATAACCAATTCAATGAAATACAAACCTTCTTGGTAGACCACTGGACCAAGAACTTTCCATTGAATTGTTAATTTCAACTTGAACTATGAACATTTGTTTACAATGGAAGTTCGAATATTGAAATGAACTTGCGAACTTCGTTGCGAAGTTCACGCCTAATTTCCGAACACGAACTTCGGACCCGCGCGCTGAAAAGTGACCTGAAAACGACAATAAGCCCCCCCCCCCCGTCAAACGAGTTGATGAGAGTTGTAAGTCATCCGTTGTTGGCAAGCGGTCATTATTTATCGGGGGGGGGGCACCGAAGAGAAAAGGGTTGGGTAAACAAAATTTTGAGTGAGTAAAAGGTTGGGTAAATGAGAAACAAAACAACTCAAGGGTTGGGTAACAAAATTTTATTGTCATTTCAAAAGCATGACTCACTCAAATATTGAAGACCAAAAAGCATTGTCAACAGTCATATGTCAATACAATATGTAAATCAATCAGAGTCACTATCTTGGTCATTTTCCGATTTGTCAGGAGGCAAATGGTGTCTCCAAAGAAAGTACATGTGCAGACAACATGAAACTTTAGACTGCAGAAAATTGCACAAGCAGTTATCAAACTCATGTCAGAGAAGTGTAAAGCTTGTGAAGTTTTAGGCCAGATGTGGGTATTTATTTTTTAATTGATATTTGAGGTTGGGTAGAAACTTTTTTGACTTTTTAATAGATGGATCAACAAAATTTTAGCAATAAAAACATTTCTCTTTGGTGCCACTTCCCGCCATAAAAATTATCGGTCCCTTATACGAAGACAATTATAGTTCCAGATTAACAAAATAAAGATTTCCAATAAAGTGTTCCAGCCATAGATATCTTATATACACTAGATAGCGCATCTCTTTTAGTAAAATTGAAGCCAAGAATATTCCAGCGGTTACCCCCATTTGAATAGATGGCGGCCACCCCATTTGAATAGATGGCGGCCATGTTGGTCGTTCCCACTCGCTAATAAACGCTTAAAAGCTTAAAAACGTATTTGGAATACGGTTAACTTAGTGTTTAAGAAATAGAAAACATACGAATCTTCTCATTTCATGGGAACGACCTGAGACTGCAATCACGGCTTCAATTTTTGAATTGCAGAATAATTAGATGCACTATCTAGTGTATATAAGACATCTATGGTTCCAGCTATGTTTAACTTCAAAAGAATCCATGATAGTGTTGGGAAAGCATTAAGAACAGCTAACCAAGCTTGCGTGACTGCTAATTCTCATGCACTCTCGTTTCATCCGAACTTTACATTATTCATTTTCTTCAGGCACTAGTAGACGTGAACCATTCCATACAGGAATCTGTGATAATTATCAAGGAAATTTTATCAGGTTTTGTGCGATCTTTTAGACACATTACTTGTTTCAATATTTCTCACATTACCATTTACCATTAATATGAAATTAATAGCGTTTCCTACAATCTGATTGGCTCGTGGGTTTGATTCTCATAACAGTCAAGCAATTGTTCGGTTTGCCCGGTGAGAAGTAATTCACAGTACCATTAATCCCATTATATCTTAAAGGCACAGTTCAGCCTTTTGAATGATGGTTTTTAAGGCGCATTTCAGCCTTTTTAATTGGAAAATAATTAAGCATAATTCAAGATCAGTGATCTCAATGTTTTTAACATTTTAAAACATTTTTATTGTTAAAAAACATTCAGTTTACTGATCTTGAATTGTGGTTAAATGATTTTCTTAGTTATTTTTTTCAATTAAAAGAGCTGAAATGCGCCTTAAAAACCATCATTCGAAAGGCTGAACTGTGCCTTTAAAGAAGTAAAGTGATCATAAAAAAGGATACGTCCAAAATAGAACATATGTCTGTGATTCAGAGTCAAGGAAATTGTAATTAATTGGAATATATAATACTCTAAGTGCATATCCACACCAGCAAGGTTTTTTCAGGATTTTCTCTTGGGTCCGTTTTTGCAAAGAAGATTGAGTTTAGCTGAACAGCTGGGGTGTCTGCAACCCTCCCCCCTACCGGGTAGGGGGGGGCTGACACTTGTACTCAATAAATGTAGTTGAGACAGAATGTGTTAAAGCAGGGGCACTAAGGGACACTATAAGCTGGTTAAAGATGGCGAATGCATAGTTTTTCTTGTGTTGTGAGATGAATTCCAGCCATTGTTTCTCAATTGTCGGGTTTCCAACTGAAAACTAATTTCCACACGTCACGAATTTAACTCAAACAACTTCATTTTTACTGCACTGAAACTTTGGTGAGAAGATTGAGTTTCAAAACTCAATTCAAGATTGAGTTTTTGGAGTCGTTTAACGGCCCTAAAAAATCCCTGAAAAAAACCCTGACCAGGTAAGCTTGAAAATATCATATTCACCTGAGTACATAACCATCATATTCACCCGAGTACATTACACCAACACAGAAAAAAAATCATTTATCACTACATTGTGAAAAGATACAAAAAGTCCACCGAGTACTCCATTAGTGCTTAAACTCCACCATGATATAAAGTAATTTCTCCATTGTTGACCAGCTTTTATGTTTATGAGACACTGGTGATAAACAGATAAAGATTACGTAAGTTACTGATTAGTGGGTGTATTTTTATGGGTCTTTCTATTTTATCAGTACGAGATGGTAAAATCGAGTTACTGTATTCACTCCTCTCAGTAGAGCTGTATAAATAAACACGAAATATTCCATAATATTCGTCTCTCTAAGGCCTAGGTGTTCTAGAGGTTAAATTCATAAAGTAGTATGTGCCTTAGAGCTATGCGGTTTACCGAAAAATTCGGTTCTTCCAGTACTTTACTTAGCACCAAAAAATTATACGCAAAAGAACCAGTAGTTTCGGTTTTAACTTCCCGTTTAACGCCCGCCAAACGCCCACCTGATTGCAGGTTGAAATGTTTGGAAAATAACAAGATTGTGCTCTTTGTGCACAATATGCACTGTACTAAGTGCTCAAATAGTTGATATTTTAGTTGTGATAGTTATTGTTGTGCACTTGCTTTAAATTTTTTAAAAAAATAAATATTTCGTGTTCATAAATAAATTCCAATTGTTCTTTTAAAATATTCAGAGATTTATACAAACTTACAAGGCATAAATTCATCTATTTAGTAAAAATGCTCGAAACATACATAAATGAGTTCATACATTTGTACTGTTCTTATTTTTTGAAAATAACCGAAACCGAACCGAACCGAGGTTTTTCTGTTCCCCAAAAACCGAAACCGGGACAGAGATAAAATTGTTGGAACCGCACAGCTCTAATGTGCCTAAGGCTATGGTTCTAGAGGTTAAATTCATAAAGTAGTACGGGTATTTTTTATAAAAATGCAATGAAATATTTGATAGAGAAGATGAACTGAAATAACAGATAGCAGACTTACTGATAAAAATATAGATGCGGCAACATAAAAGATGAATCCAGACAGTCCAGTTAATCCCAGCACTCCAGCAGACATTCCTGCCAAAGCAGACACGGAAGTGCGGCTGAAAAACAGATAAACAAAAACTCTAAATGCGAAACTTAATTAATTGTTGTGGCTCTCTACAACAAAGCTCTGGTCAAATAAGAATGAGAGTTGAGAAGCGAGGGTTTGCATGAGAGTTTTCTCAACTCTCATGCCCCATTCAAACGAGAACAAGAGTCACACGAGAGTTGATGAGAGTTGAGAAGCGAGAGTTTCAATGATAAGTTTTCTTAACTCTCATGCCCTGGTCAAACGAGAACAAGAGTTGCATGAGAGTTGAGTTCCATCAAGACATTTAGCAGGCACATTTTCAAATAATTTCTCCGGTCGCACGCACGCACGCACGCACGCAAAAAAGTTAACGACCCCTGTGTGTTGTATCAGATATGCAAACTCTAGCCGAAGGTAAGATTACTTGACGGATGACTTCTGAAAGATTATTGTTTAACCATCCTAACTCACCAAAAATCAACGACCATATTATTATTTGCAATAGCAAAACCACTGTAAGCTACAGCATCTAAAATACACAAAAATAAAATAATAAAATAAATATACATAAACCCTAAGTTCATAACAAAAATGTGTGGGCAATATCAAGTTTTGACTATATATGGGCAGCCTTAAAGGTAAAGTACATCATGCATTCCTCTTTCGAGTTCCCAAACTTGAAAAATTCCGTTGCATATCCCTTGAGTGAATTTGCAATGTTTCTAACAGTCAATAAATTTTGTGGCAAGTGTCGCACAACAAATGTTACTTGTTAACAAGTTGTGACAATGCTGATCCAACAACTTATCAACAACCTGTCTCCTCAACAGGCTTGCAGCAAGCTTGTTAACAAGTTGTGACAATACTGTTCCAATAATTTGTCAACAAGATTTCTCGCAAAAGGTTTGTAGCAAGTTTGTTAACACGTATGTGTGACAATGCTGTTCCAACAACCTTGTCAACAAGATGTCTCCGCACAGGCTTGTAGCAAGCTTGTTAACAAGTTGTGACAATGCTGTTCCAACAACTTGTCAACAAGATGCCTCCTCAACAAGCTTGTAGCAAGCTTGTTAACAAGTTCTGACAATGCTGTTCCAACAACTTGTTAACAAGATGTCTCCTCAACAGGCTTGTAGCAAGCTTGTTAACAAGTTGTGATAATTCTGTTCCAACAACTTGTCAACAAGATGTCTCCTCAACAGGCTTGTAGCAAGCTTGTTAACAAGTTGTGATAATGCTGTTCCAACAAATTGTCAACAAGATATCTCCTCAACAGCCTTGTAGCAAGCTTGTTAACAAGTTGTGACAATGCTGTTCGAACAACTTGTCAACAAGATGTCTCCTGAACAGGTTTGTAGCAAGCTTGTTAACAAATTGTGACAATGCTGGTCCACCAACTTGTGAACAAGATTTTTCGCAACAAGTTTGTAGCAAGTTGACAATGATGTTCTAACAACTAATCAACAAGATGTCTCCGCAACAGGCTTGTAGCAAGTTTGTTAACAAATTGTGACAGAGCTGTTCCAACAACTTGTCAACAAGATGTCTCCGCAACAGGTTTGTAGCAAGCTTGTTAACAAGTTGTGACAAAAATGTTCCAACAACTTGTCAACAAGATTTTTCGCAACAGGTTTGTAGCAAGCTTGTTAACAAGTTGTGACAATGCTGTTCCAACAACTTGTCAACAAGATGTCTCCTCAACAGGCTTGTAGCAAGCTTGTTAACAAGTTGTGACAATGCTGTTCTAATAACTTGTCAACAAGATGTGTCATCAACAGGCTTGTAGCAAGCTTGTTAACAAGTTGTGATAATAATGTTCCAACAACTTGTCAAGAAGATTTTTTGCAACAGGTTTGTAGCAAGCTTGTTAGCACGTTGTCACAATGCTGTTCCAACAACTTGTCAACAAGATGTCTCCTCAACAGGCTTGTAGCAAGCGTGTTAACAAGTTGTGATAATAATGTTCCAACAACTTGTCAAGAAGATATTTTGCAACAGGTTTGTAGCAAGCTTGTTAACAAGTTGTGACAATAATGTTCCAATAACTTGTCAACAAGATTTTTGCAACAGGTTTGTAGCAAAGCTTATTGACAAATTGTGAGAATGGTGTTCCAACAACTTGTGAACAAGATGTCTCCTCAACAGGCTTGTAGCAAGCTTGTTAACAAGTTGTGACAATAATGTTCCAATAACTTGTCAACAAGATTTTTGCAACAGGTTTGTAGCAAAGCTTATTGACAATTTGTGAGAATGGTGTTTCAACAACTTGTGAACAAGATGTCTCCTCAACAGGCTTGTAGCAAGCTTGTTAACAAGTTGTGACAATGCTGGTCCAACAATTACTTGTCAACAAGATGTTTCCTCAACAGGCTTGTAGCAAGCTTGTTAACAAGTGGTGAGAAAAATGTTCCAACAACTTGTCAACAAGATTTTTCGCAACAGGTTTGTAGCACGCTTGTCAACGAGATGTGTTTGAAATACACACGTAAAAGTCTCCAACTTGTCAACAAGATGTGTTCGCAACAAGATTTTAGCATGCTTGTCAACAAGTTGTAAGAATGCTGTTATTTTATCAAGTTGCTACAAGGTTGTCACTCACAACTTGTTGATAAATTGTTGAATTGCAGGACGATAACAACTTGTTGGATCAACTTGTAACAAGTCTGTTGAGCTCAGCAACCTTGCAGCAAGTTGTCAACAAGCCGTTGACAACTTGTCAACAAGCTGGGAACAAGCAGTGCGAACACATCCTGTTGACAAGTTGTTGGAACAGCATTGCTACAAGTCTGCTGCAGGTTTGTTACAACTGGTGCGTTTTTACGTGTGTATGTTTGTAGCAAGCTTGTTAACAAGTTGTGACAATGCTGTTCCAACAACTTGTCAACAAGATGTCTCCTCAACAGGCTTGTAGCAAGCTTGTTAACAAGTTGTGACAATGCTGTTCCAACAACTTCTCAACAAGATTTTTCGCAAAAGGCTTGTAGCAAGCTTGTTAACAAGTTGTGACAATGTTTTCCCAACAACTTCACAACAAGATTTTTCGCAACAGGCTTGTAGCAAGCTTGTTAACAAGTTGTGACAATGCTGTTCCAACATTCTGTCAGCAAGATATGTTCTCAACAGGCTTGTAGCAAGCTTGGTAACAAGTTGTGACAATGCTGTTCCAACATTCTGTCAACAAGATATGCTCGCAACAGGCTTGTAGCAAGCTTGTTAACAAGTTGTGATAATGCTGTTCAAACATTATGACAACAAGATATGTTCGCAACAGGTTTGTAGCAAGCTTGTTAACAAGTTGTGATAATGCTGTTCAAACATTCTGACAACAAGATATGTTCGCAACAGGTTTGTAGCAAGCTTGTTAGCAAGTTGTGACAATGCTGTTCAAACATTATGATAACAAGATATGTT